GCAAGCAGCGGCTCTGGAACTTTGAAATGCGCTTCTAAGAATTCATCTGGGTACCACTGTGTGATCTTAAGATGTGAAAAATACCAGAGCAAGAGGAAGAGATTGCTGAGCACTGCCTGTGAATTTCACAGCGCATCCCGGGAATCGTGCCGGTGCGGTGTTCTCACCTTCCACCGATTTCCATCCGCAACCAAAAGTGTCGAGCTTTGTTGCCAATAAATAAATGCCGTGAACAAAAAAAAAAGACTACAAACCTAGAAAAAATGCACCAGTAAGCATACACCTGAACACAGAGAGCTCAGTGCTTGCTGCCATATTGAAAAGCACGTGGCACCATCTGTTACAAGCGCGGCGAAGCAACACCCTCAACTGCCACGCAAGCAGCCGCTCTGCAAATCAGACGCGAAACTTCACAACCGAAGTCCAGCTGTAAGCATGTTTCACGCTGTTCCATTGATAGAATTTTGGGCTGATTTCGTGCGAAACGCCGAGGAGACCTTCCTCGACAGTCCGAAATGTCTGCGGCACGTGCATTGCACACTGGGGAAGCAACTTCATCAGGTACGTATTATCCGACTGAAAGAAACGCGAACAGCGGAAAGCATTAACTGCGGCCTTGGCTGTGACAAGGCAGAATTTGTGCTGTAAGCCGGCGTCAACGTAGCGCTAGAATCTGGCTCCAACTTACGCTCATGCAACGCATGTGTATCAATCGCCAGTCCTGCCGGGCACTCGGAACACACATGCAGTGCAAAAAGTTCCAGCCAGGACAACATCTTAAAATGCTACGGTGACACTGCCCGAAAGCACATGTAGATTCGCCTAGGGACAGTCAAGGCATGTCGCAGTTCGACCGAGTCGAAAGGAATGATTTCAATGCCGTTCACGTCTCTTTGCATCGCGATAGAAGGCTGTTACAGTTGTACTAAACATGCGCGGTGCATGCATTCACGCGTGAGTCGCAATACGTATATCTTATTGACATGCGGCCTGCGAAAGAGTACGGCAATAGTTTTTTGCCGCATACTACAGGCATACTACACACTAATCGCTGCTATAAAGTGGAACAGCTGAAGTCCTGTTTGAATAAACGCAATAAACATACCTACTCGTACACTTTACTGAGCTCGTAATTGTTCCTGTCGATTGCAATTATATTCTAAAGAGGCGGAGCTCAGAGTTTCTTGTTTTCGACGGAAATCTGTGCAATCACAACACACCGCACCAGCACGATTCCTGCGATGCGCTGTGAACTTACAGGCAGTACCCAGCAATCTCTTCTTCTTGCGCTGCTTATTGTCGCATCAGATGACAGCGCAATGGTACCCAGATGACATTTTACACATAGTGTTCATGTGATGTCACTTCCGCCGTTATCGCCCTCTCCCGCCATGCCCAGGTACCTACGGTAGTTCACGGGCTGCAGCGCGGTTTGCTGGGGGCTCGTCATCTGTTGCTGTGTGCGATGTTGAAAGGAAAGCATTGTGGTTTTTTGTTGTCAAACTTTAACGAGCTCATCGGATCAGGAAGGCCTCGTTCGTTCACTTGATACAAAGCCAAAAAATCAAGATGTGCGACACGTATACCAGCCACCGCGTACACTGGCTGCCCGCCACGACCTACGAGAGCCCATTATCTCCCTTTCACTACAAATTGCATGGCCCAAGAACAAGTGAAAGCCTCGAGTGGCAATTTTAAGAGTGGATGAGCGAAGCGCAGCAGCTCCCATTGAAAATGAGTCATGCAGAGCTAGGCAAGTTTACAAGAGATATAATATTAATACATTGCTGCAGCCCACACTACCAAGTTAGCACCTTTCCCCCCCTAGTGTTTTAAACAGTGCTGATGTTGAGCCTCTTTGATTGAAATTTCTGGAAACAGCCGAGGAAAATATTATGCGAGGTAGATAGAGGCTTCGCATGATGCGTGCCGCGGTAATGCCGGTCATCACTTTTTTTTTTCCCCGTATGTCTTGACACCTTTTTCACCTTATATTTTACTTTTGTTGTACGCTAATGTACAGTGGAGTCCCTGAAAATGATGGAGACCATGTTAGGGAATCAATTGACCAATTTTTAAAAATCCTGACCCCCCCCCAACTCTAACCGATTGGGTATACTTCAAAGTGAACTAATGTTGTTTCACATCCATTTTCAAAGTTTGTTTCAATGCAATACCCGAATTTCCGCAATCGCTATTACGCTTTTAACCGCCTCCCTGACATGCTGATTGTGCACGCAGTGGTTGCGGAAAAGTTTGCATGTGCGGTAATCACGGTAAGTTATCTCTGTTTGCAGGTAAGTGCTCGGCTATAGCACTCAACCGTAATGAAGTTACACCTGAAGACGCAAATATCGCCGAGTTTCTTTAAGTAGTTTTTTCGTTAATCCACGCCAACCACAAACACACAGGAAGTTTTCGGAAAATCGCAATATGCTTTCTCAATTTTAGGTTATAACTTTCGGCAAAAAAAAAAAAACACCCCGAAGCGCTGCTCCCTTTTCGTGGACTACTAAATCAACTTGTCGCACTAGCAGCTGATAATTCCTCAAGCTTGCATCCTGAGGCAAAACTAAACAGGCGCAAGCACGAGGAAACAACACGGTAGCGGTCGGCGACGGAGTCTGTAGGTACCCGGGCATTTCGGTGGCGCATTTTTGAAGTGACGAAGGGGCGCTGCGGGATGCAATTTGTATAAGCGGGCGCAGCCTGAACAGGCGTGTTTTCGCTTTTTAAACTCCCAGAGCCACTGCTTGCCATGCTAGCGAGACGTGCTTTGGCAGTTCCAAACACATTATGGTGCCTCTGGGAGCGAGGGTATTCCAACGAAGGCGCCTGGGTGCGAGATAGGCGTGCTCTCGTCTATGCTTACTGATTGTATTCATGCGCGATGCCAACTACCATGCTTAGAAAAAGTCGTCTCAGCACCACTGCGCCGTCTTCGAAAGCGAAAACAACCCACGCAAGAGTAAGATATTACTCAGGACTTTCTGTGAAGATCACAACACGATACGCCAATCATGCCAATGCAGTGTTTTCCAATCACACAGATTTGCATCTGTAGCGAAAAACACAGAGCTCTGCCACCATTGGATATAATCTCAACGGGCAGGAAAAACTACGAGCCTAGTTAAAGTGTACAAGTAAGTATACTTATTGCGTTTATTCAAGCGCCACGCCAGCTGCTCCACTTAACAGCAGCGATTTGCATGCAGTATGCTTGTATTATGCAGCACCAAATCATTGCCGTACTCTTTCGCAGGCCGCATACCAATAATAGAATATATAGGAACTAACACATGGATGCAGGCAGTGCACACATTTAGCACAATTGTGACGGCATACTATCGCAAGGCAAAGAGACGCGAACGCTGCAGAAAGCACGGCTTTCAACTCGGCTAAACTGCGACATGCCCGGACTGTCATTATACGAATCTGTGCTTCGACTGGCGTCACCCCATTATTTCAAGATCTTGTTCAGGCTGGCCCTTTAACAACATGTGCGTGTTCCGAGCGCACGGCATGACTGGCAAATGATAAGCACATGAGTGATATGTGGGGTTTAACGTCCCCAAACCACCAGATGATTATGAAAGATGCCGTAGTGGAGGGTTGCAAAAATTTTGACCACCTGGGGTTCTTTAATATGCACCCAAATCCGAGCACACAGGCCTACAGTATTTTCGCCTCCATCGAAAATGCAACCGCCGCAGGCAGGATTCGATTCCGCAACCAGCAGGGCAGCATCCCGCAACCAGAAGGCCAGGAGCCTGCTGGTTGCGGGATCGAATCCTTAGTCACTAGACCACCGCGGCGGGGCAAATGATAAACACATGCGATGCATAAGCTCAAGTGGGAGCGAGATTCTAGCCCTACATTGATGCCAGCTTACAGCACGAATTCTGCCTTGCCACAGCCAAAGCACGCCGCAGTTCCGCAGAGTCGAAATTCCGCTGTTCACGTTTCTTTCAGTCACGATTTTACGTATACTACCTGGTAAAATTGCTTCTGCAGCCAGCAATGCATGTGCTGTAGACATTCAGGACTGCCGAGAAAGATCTCCTCGACATTTCACATGAAATCAGCACAAACTTCTAGAAAAGAAAGAGCGCAAAACAAGCTTCCAGCTGAACTCTGGTTGTAATGTTTCACGCTAACTTTGCGGTTTAATTTAATTTCACGTCTGCTCGCGTCGCAGCGCAGGGTGTTGCTTCGCTGCACTTGCAACAGATGGTGCTCTTTGATATGGCAGCATGCATTGGGCTCGTTGTGTTCTGCTGCATAAAGACATGTGCCATATTCTAAAACTGACAGGTGTAACCTGCAAACTGTTAATGCTATTTAGGCTAGACCACCTTCCCAGAGGTCGCAAGTAGATTGGAGATTTGCATGACCAGGTTTTGGCATTCTGGAAGAGCTGCTCGTTCCTCCATGCTGTTCTTCCTCCTAATTACACAGGTAAGCAGCACCACCGATCAACACGCACGAATGGAAATTCTAGAGAGACAGTCCTGCAATGAAAGTTCTGGAAGAAGGCCACTCCAACCAGGCCCCCTATTTCAGATTATGAAAACATTCAGACTAAGGAGGTGAAAAATGAATGAGTTTCAACGTGTCTCCAGTACTGCTTTGTTGGGGCATCAGATGCCTCACCAAATACAAAAGTTGACCGTTGGTGTAAATGGATCACATGGCGCTTTCGTGTCACAGATCAAATGCTGCAATGTGAACAATGACGTCATCTCACGACATCGTCACTTGAGGTTAACGATGGGCCAATCACAGAGGCAGCAGTGCAACGTCATCAGAATAAGAGCTTTCGAAGCAGTACAAACCCCATTAGGCGCCCAAGGCTCAGCTGAAGAAGAAAAAAAGCTTGTTTGTTCTCAGGCGCATGCATAAGAAACCCTGTGACATTCTTCATCCAAAAGCACAAATTCGTGCTACATATTGAATCAGGCAAGTTAATGAGCTTGTAGGAAACAATCACATGCACTCACCTGTTCGGCATTGTAGCTGTACTTCTCCTTGGCGTGTGTCATGTACTCATCCACTGTGGGAAGGATGGCGACTATTCAATGGCACAGGATGGAACAGAGCACTCAAATGCTATACCATGGCGCACACTTCACAGACAAGAGGAGCGCCAACTGAATTTCTATTAAAAAAAAAAACCATGACGCTAACAGTGCGCAGCTTCACATTCACAACACCACGACCTCCCCCCCCCCCCCCCTCGAGGTGATAAGAGTCAGCTCGCTAGATACACAACAACAGATGGCCAAGGATGAAAGTCACTGCTCTGACAAAAAATATTTCTATTTGGTAGGTGTACTGCCGGATAGTGTCATTAACTTACTATTTTTTTCTGCATAACTTGTTGTGCTGTCAATTATTATGCGGCAAAACAGCATAATAGTATGGGAGCAAATGCAGGAAGCCTAGAATACACTAATTGAACATAGTGACCAAATGAATAGAACTTAAGGCCTAACAAATCACAGTTGGCACCATTGACAACGGCTGCCGTCAAAGGAACTTACAAATGCCTTACAAACGTACAAACTCTATAAAACATGCATGTACAGCAGAAGCTAGTTACAGTGGAGATTTCAAGGGACCAGAGAAAATGATCGAGATAACCAAGTGCCAGATTATCGAAAAAGTAAAAAAAAATAGTAATTAAATGTCTCTAACATCAATACACTATCACGTTCTTGATGAGTACGTAAATTGTGCATTTACGTTGCACAGATGAAGTGTAAAAGCCGTAATTTTAATTATACTGCAAATTTATCCTCAATTTGACTCCCATATGCAATTAGCCCGAAAAGTGCTCGACAGACCACACTTATGCATCATCGCCACCACCGCCGTCACTGCATGATAATTCTTTTCCAGATAATATGGCCGGCAACTGACAGTTTGCCTATGACAGTGTAGCAAACCAGTTTTAAACCAGCCTTGCAGACTGTGACAGAAAGCTCCTCATCTTCGACAAGTTCCACCACATTTAAGTTTTGTGACATAACCTATGCATTGCATCAAGTTACAAGTGAACCTGCTATGTTCATCGTCATCAGTCTTTTGTGTAGCGTGGAACTCAGCGCTGTTAAAGTTCAACATTCATTCAAAAGCAAGTAACAAATAAACAAGGCTACTTGCACTATCAAGGTACCATTAATTTAATAGGACGAGACAATACAACTTATCAAAGGTTATCGCGTGGTAATGCAATAACCCTAGAAACCTTATGAAGATATGTGATGTCCCACTTGAAAAAGCTTTCTTTTCTGCTACGTAATTGGGTATATAAATTTTATTTTTATTTACAAATACTGCTGGCCAGAGGCCAAAGCAGGAGGGGTAAGATAATACAGTTATCATACGTAAATATTAAGAAGATGATCATTTTGCATTCCCCAAACATGTAAACAATAAAATAATACTCCATCTTAGAATGGTCACATTACTTACAATTGGGTTATGTCTGGTTTTTCGGAAAAATAGTGCTAGCCTGGACACACAGAAGCGACAAGACGACCGCTCTTTTTCCGACAATTGGCGCTCTCTGTGCGACTACCTCACTGCTGAAAGATTCACACTAATGCCTGATGGTTCAGCGAACTGGAAATGCGGCGGTAAACACAGACAGAAAGCAAAGAGGAGGCACACAGCACGAGCGCTCAACTAACAACTGGTTCATTCTCACGTTCGAAGGACATATAAGTACACAAGGGTGCGCATGTCAACCGGAATAAGATGATAGTGTGAGCAGCAAGCATGGCTTTCATTCGAAGCACTTGTCTATGAATTATCAATATAGTTAAACTCACGGTCAAGTAGTGATAATCACGGATGGCTGATACATTGATTCTTATTTCTAGAAATGTGATATGCTTCGGAAATTTCACACGTGGTATGAAGCGGAGGCTGGACAAGTACACTTGTTTTCAGAGGTAACAAGTGAGTTTTCAGAGGTAACAGCGTTTAGTGTTGATGTAGTTGACCTATATTATTCTTTGCCGCATGATCGGTTGCTAAACTGCGTTGAGCAGTGCATTGTGGAAGACAATGACGAACTATCATTCAGGAATCGTTCAGGAGTGTCAGAGTCGTTTTTAGAAATTTTGATGTTTTACCTAAATTCAACCTTCATCGTATGGCTTGGAAACCTGTACATGCAGAAATCGGGTGTGTGTATAGGCTCCAGTGTGCCTCCTGCATTAAGCAACATTTTCCTAGGGAAGGTGGACAGTGCCTTAAGCACTAAACTACCGTCAGGCATCAAAATCTTCAGATACGTTGATGATTATCTGATTTTTTTGTAAAGAAATGTTCTGCAGTGAACTATGGTGCTATTTTGGCATGATTCAAGGTGGAGGACATGGGCCTCCGGTTCACATCAGAGGTTCCGAGTAATCATAAATTGCAATTTCTAGACCTTTCTCTATTCTTTGGAGACAATCATCTTTGCTGGCAATATAACCCTCGATCCGCGAAACCTGTTTTAAATTACTCGTCCGGCCATTCCAAGCTTATAAAACGAGGAATTGTTCTGTCATGCCTTCGTTCAGCGCTAGAAAAAAGCTGTACCCACATGGTGCGCTATGGTTTCTTAGCGCAGCTAGGATGGTTATTTGGGGCTGGGTACCCGCCGTATCTAATCGCATCCGTGTGTGAGAGACTTCTGCGGATGGTGAGAAACGATGAAAAAAACATGCGTGTGTTCCTGCAGAATGCAATAAAGGAAACAAGCGCATGGCCCTCATCCCTTACATTCATAAATTGGCGCATAAACTGAAAAGTGTGGGGAACCAGTTTGGTGTGCACGTTGTTTTCTCTGCACCCAATAAATTGGGCCGTATATGTGCCATGGTGCATAGGAGGGCGCAGGGCGCGTCAAGAAGCAGAGGATGTTTGCAGAAACATGAAGAACAATTTGTTAAGTGTTTTTTAGGAGTGGTGTATAGCATACCGCTAACGTGCGGTCGCATGTGCATCGGCCAGACGGGGAGATGTTTGAATATACGCCTCAGGGAGCATTTGAGTTCCTTAAAAGGTAGTCCTTTTTCCGCTTTAGCTTCACATTGCAATTCCTGCAAGTGTCGACCATTGTTTGAAAAAACAAGTGTACTTTTCTGTCATCCGCTTCAAACCACGCGTGAAATTTACGAAGCGTATCACATTTCTAGAAATAAGAATCAAGGTATCAGCCATCCGTCATTATCACTACTTGACTGTGACTTTAATTCGTAAACAAGTGCTCTGAATGAACGCCACGCTTAGCACTCACACTATCATCTTATTCCTGTTGACATGCGCACCCTTGTGTACTTATATGTCCTTCGAACGCGAGAATAAACCAGTTGTTAGTTGAGCGCTCGTGCTGTGTGCCTCCTCATTGCTTTGTGTCTGTGTTTAACCTCGCGCTCCCAGTTTGCTGAACCATCATGAATTACCAACTAGCCAACCTCTCCATCCTATCACACTAATGCCATTAATTATTCTTCAGTGTGGCATAAGTGGACTGTGACTTCATTAAGTTTTTTATCATGTCAATAAAACTCTCTCAGTGGTGAGAATCTAGCAACGACCAAAGCGAGTGCACGGGCTTCCGCAGACAAAAAAAAAAAAACGGTCCCCCCACCCACCGTGCAAGGCTGCATGCGCTATGAGGGTGTTGCATGAGCGCTTTTCCCTCCCCCAGCCATGATGCAGCACGGCTGATGAGGCCGATGCGCGAGCGGTGCACCGAGCAAGCTGGCAGCGCCTCCGACTACAGCGCCACTGCTATGGGATCACAAAAGGGGGTGAGCTTAGAGCAGCCGGTTTTCACACCTCCCAATTCTAGCTACCGTATTCTGGCCTTAACAGACTAGCAGGTAGCGCCATCTAACCGTAATGGAGCGAACTGCAGCTTTAAGATGGGACTTCTTGAATATTTTTTTCGAAATTTCGCCTCCCTACATAGGAGTGCAGCCTTTACGTCGGCTAACTGAACGCAAGCCTGCGATCACAGCAAGTCTTCTTCCTTTTCTATACTCGAGCTCCATGCCTACTGCCCTCGTTACAGTATATAGAGTATGTGGGTCCTTTGGTATAATTCGGTATATGCCCCCCCCCCCCCAGAACACGTAAAGCATACCTGGTCAAAGCAGCCAGAACTGTGTTCAAAGTAGCCTGACAACAGAGCAAGAGGGTGAAAAACAGCCCGACAACAGAGCGAGAGGGGTGAAAAACAACAGTCTTTGCCCGGTGCCAATTGTGACATTGTGTGCCCCACAAACATTCTCCGATGTTGACAATGAACTCTTTACTCGTGGGACCTCACACTGCGATGTGCTGCCAACTAGGAAATGCCCTCGCCCTTACCTTAAAACCAAATTAAATTATCTTGAAAGCAACGTTCTTCAGTGATAATCAGGCAAAAGTACGCACACGTGCCGAACTATCCAACAACACAAGCATGTCAAGTTTTAAAGTTGGGTGTAGGGGTCTTTAAAAAATAACCAAAATAAAGGATTTTTAAGCGCATTGACATTAGTGCATAAAAATCTGATAAACGGCTCCATTGGTATTTTTTTCTTTATTAGTACTTCATGCACAGTAGGATCTCCCGAGAAAAAAAAAGGGGGGGGGGGGCTTGTTCATATTCAAAGAAATATTTATCATCAGCGAGAGCACCCATTGCAGAGCAATGGTCCCTCCCATGTTACACCAATAAACCTGGTCCTGTAATTGTGGCTGCCATGCAATATTTGATTTTCTGCAGCTGGTTTGTTTATTCAAAATTACATGGCGCCACAGCACCCTGGCCATCTCCCTACCATGGCCGATGTACTGCCACAGCCTCCTGCGGCACTGCTCAACATCCACGTTGCGTCATCTACTCAGTGCCCCCATAGCGTCTGTGCAAAGCAAGCACTATGTGCATGCCGACTGAAGCAGACGGATGCTCCGGCAAGTAAAAGTGAAGCAGATCTTGTACGAGCCAGAAAAGTCAGCATGGGGGCATTTACGGGTGCAGTTTCCTTATGCCTCGATCTGATCACATCCCCGTCCTGGCCCGTAAGTTCACAACGCAGAAAGTTATTTTCTTTATACTAACATCCGAACCTCCGAGAGCAATGTATTCGTCAGTATTTTGCAGTGCTTTCGAGATTTGTTCTCGAATTTACAGAGGCAAGGCTTGGCAAGCATGGCTAAATAAACGCAGTTAGTTTCCCTAATAACGAAGGAATATAGCCGATGCTCTGTCCCCAGCGTGAGATGACACTAAGCGGTAGCTGATTTCATTGCTTATTTATTGCTGGGACGACAGTGGGCGAGCAGCAAGCACAAGTTTGGATCCAACCGGGCGGTAACGTCTGCGTGGGTGCTGCAATGTAGGCTTCTAACCTCAGCCACGGCCATGGCTGCTGGGCTAATCCACTGTTATGAAGCGTGGAAGCTTGGGCAAGTTGGTAGGACATAACTGAATGCAGGAACAGCGCAACCTAGAAGTAGTTACTTCGTAACTACGGAAGCGAAAAAAAACTGTCTTGTTTCTGTCCTTGTTTTTTTTTTTTTTTTCGCTTCCGTAGTTACGAAGTAACTACTTCTAGGTTGCACTGTTCCTGCATTCAGCTAATCCAATGTGTTGCCTGGGGCAACTCACTTGGAGATGGCTGGTTACACTCAAGTGATAAAACATGGCAGTGCCCGTGCATCGCTGTGGAAAATCATCTATACTGCTCGCAAACTTCTCTCCCACCAAACTTCCTGCCTTGCCCTCATATCTTTGCCTTCTCTCGCAATTCACTGTGCTACCCTTAATGACTATGAGCGCTGCCCATGACCATTATTTATTCGTGATCTTGACTTTACCAAAATCCTGAGATGGCATTCGCTGTGTGTCAAGAACAGCCATGGACCCAGTGTAAGCGTACTGTAGCGAGTTTCACACACGTTCCCCTAGCACCAGCAAAGCTTGGCATTCACCAGAGAAGCGAAAAGGGGCACTCACACTTGCTGTCCGAGATGTCGGGGCATGGTGACCACACCAGCAGAGCCCGTTCAGGAGTGAACTCTGGGCAAGGATCTGCAGAACAGAAATATTGCTCACTTTAAGGGGGGATGTGGCTTTCAGTACAAACTTTCTTATTTTTATAGAGATCTTGATAAAAATTGGCATGCTTATAGGACAAGTTTCTTTAACGCTATTGTCGAAATTTCATGAACATATCTTTACAACTTTTTGATATGCAATAAATTTCCCCTTCTGGTCTTGTTCCGAGTGTGACTCCCTTAAAAACATACCACATTTATTCGAATAAAGGCCGATAGTTATTCCCAAACTTCATTACATCAAACACCAGGGTCTGCTTAAGTTATAGAATTTTAAAAAACGTTTTTATTGAAAAAATTGAATTTTTCATCGAAAAAAAAAAAGTGCTGCACCACTAGATCTACCTAAACAGTATTGGAGTCACTAGTAGCCAAGCCGAATCCGGGCCTAAGTACACAAGTAAGGTCGCCATTTTGATCTTTGTGGCGAGTGTTGAGGCGAGCTGTTTGTACGAAGGGCACTCGGTGCACGGGATTTGGTTGCATCGCACATGTGCCTTCCTGTAAGCTTGGTTGTCTCTCCCCCGCCTGAAAGATCGGCCAACAATGGACAGGACCCCCGGTGTCGTTTACAAAATCCTGTGCGCCGAGTGCCCTTCTTCATATATCGGCGAGAGGAAAAACCTACTGAAACAATTCAAACAACACGCCAACAACGTGCAGAAGCTCTCCAAAGTGCGCAGCACAGTTGTCGAGCATGCTGAGACGTTGGACCACCAGATCAATTTCGAAGCAACGATCACCCTTGAAAGTGAGACTAACTGGAGGAGACGGTTACTACTCTAGTCGTGGCATATGCAGCGAACGGCCCAAAACACCAACCGCTCTCTAGGAACCCTTCCCCCAGCGTATACACATAGATTGCGCTCCACGGCAAAACGAAAGAGAGAGGAGTCATTAACCACCCCGCGAGTGCTCTGAAGACGCCGCTGCTACATAGACCCAGTTTCTTGTGAGGAAGGAACCAAGTCCGTTCTGAAACGTCGGGTTTCTTCAAAACTTTTGGTTGGAGTCTAAACCATTTCTCAGTTTTCATACCCATCCAGACAGACATTTGTCGAATGTTTACATTCATACACGACACTGTCAATGTAATTAGCGCCTATACAAATTTGTTTTTATGCTGGCGATCGATCATCTGTCAAATGTTTACACTCATAAACGACAGTCAGTCAATGTAATTAGCCCCCTGAACAAAATTGTTTTTATGCTGACGATTGTGTTTTGTTTAGAGAAGTAACCTGCATTAGTGACCGATGCAACCTTAATACTAACTTGGGAAATGTCTCAAAATGGTGTGAATAATGGGCAATGCTTCTGTCGATTGTTTAGACATTTGTCGATTGTTTAGATTGAAGTCAATTAGCCAAGACTTCGGACACGATATCATGCAGCTTGTCAAGTGCTACAAACTCATTAAAGGGCCACTCACAAGGTTTGACAGTTTTGAGCTGACAAGCGCAATGCGTAGGCGAGGCGTTCATGATCACGTCTGCCAAAATTTTGCAATGCTACGCGCCGCGGAAATGGGTCAAAATTCAAGATGAACGCTGCTCCCCCTCCCCTCGGCCGGCACACGCCTAGAGAATGAGGGCTGGACGTGGACGTATGAATGGCCCTACATACACGGCAATGCAGTGACATTGGTCATCTACGTAGACGACTCTGCTCTGACGTTGTCAGTAGTGTACCACATGACATGGCAAAAATTATTTAAAACAACATGCGTAGTTTATGTATTTATTGCTATAAGAGATTAATAAAACTTGCAAATAAATAATGAGACGCAATTAAACATTGTGCGCATTTTTCTTTCATTGTTTCCCACGAAACGCTACAAGATGCGGAGCTAATGTGCCAGCGTTTCGCATGCGTTCGTGTCCCCGTGGTCAGCGCATTGAGCAGACGACCGCCGTAAAACGCTCCTACGTGTTCGCGCACTCATTGTGCTCATCTAGTCTACCGCGTCTAAGCCAGCGTCTCCAAACCATCCCGCAGAAACAGGCAGAAGACCACAAAGTAATGCTGGTGAACAAAGCAACGCTGCTCGCGTACTCGGGGGAAGGACTTGTTTGGGCACGTCGTGCGCACGTCCCCTCTTGGTTGGATGCCGGAAAGGGTGGGAAAGAGCTTTGGCCTGCGAAGGCTACGCGGAGGAACGGCAAGGGTTTCGAGTTCGCCTCCTCTCATCCTCGTTTCGCGCTGCTTCAAAAAACCTGTTTTCTCCGCTTGTGATGAACCGATTCGAAAAATTCTTGTGGCAAAATGTTCCTCATTGAACACCCAACAACTTCCACTCTCTAAATGAAATTCGGTATGGGGCTTGGTGAGTGGCCTTTTAAGGAAGGCATCTCAGTCTTCAAGACTCAACTCGACATCAGCCGCACCTGCAAAGAAAGGAAAGTCTTTCCTCAAAGCCTGCACCTAAAACGACCTGCCTCAACTCCTGAAGGCTTGGAAGTCGTCACGAGAGCCGAACAACGACTACATTCATGAAATTAACGCCTCTCAACGGAAAAAGTAATTGTACGTGTTCTTCGCCAAGCGTCAACTTGAGCACCGCATACCTGAGTTGATGTCTGCGGTCGACGCGTTCGCGGACAGTCAAGTGATAAAACATGGCAGTGCCCGTGCATCGCTGCGGAAAATTGTCTATACTGCTCACAAACTTCTCTCCCACTTAACTTCCTGCCTTGCCTTCATATCTTTGCCTTCGCTCACAATTCACTGTGCTACCCTTAATGACTACGAGCGCTGCCTATGACTATCATTTCTTCGTGATCTTGACTTTAACAACACCCTGAAATGGCATTCACTGTGTGTCAGGAACTGCCATGGACCCAGTGTAAGCGTAAACTGTCTCGACCCCTGAAGGCTTGAACGTCGTCACAAGAGCCGAACAACGACTGATCAACGACTACCTTCATGAAATTAAACCCTATCTACAGAAAAAATAATTGTACCTGTTTTTCGCCAAGCGTCAACTTAAGCACCACATACCTGAGTTGATGTCAGCGGTCGACGCGTTCGCGGACTCGGTTGCGGCATCGACGGCGCAAAAGCACCAGACCACACAGGATAAGAAACTTTCTTACCTGTTGGACCGGAGTTCCCTTCAAAGCATCCAAAGTACCAGGTTTGTCACCAATCTTTTATCTCGTCCACTCACTGATCGGGAACCTTCTGTTCAAGCAAAGGGACACATCTATAACATATTAACGACGCCCCGTCTACCGAAACTTGTCACGGCTGTAGAGGAAGCCGTTTAGAGCGCGAGGCCGAGTGCCAGAGAAGAAATTAAGCTGAAATCAATTGGGATCCTTTCGAAATTATCGTTACAAAGGACACAGAACTTGGCCACAGAGGAGAACCAGGCACTTCGGGAACTCCGACGTGATCGGAGCCTTGTCATCTTGCCCGCCGACAAGGGCAATTCGCCGGTGGTGTTGGGCAGCGGGGACTACAATTGGAAGGTTTCAGCTCTTTTAGAAGGGGATACATACACGTAGCTAGTAAAGGACCCAACAAAGCAAACACAGACACAGCTAAACAAGCTACTCGTGGAAATTTTCAAGCATTACCCAGATCTCAGAACACTTTAATTGCAACTAATCTGCTGTAACAGATCCGCACTGAGTTTTTATGGACTACCGAAAATTCCCAAGCCTGACGTCCCAATCCGACCGATTGTATATTTCACTTCCTCTCCATGTTGACTCCTTTCAAATTTCCTACACCGAATCTTTGCCCCCCTAACCCGGAAGACACCAACTCACGTCGGTGACTCCAGCCACTTCGTGCAGCTAGCGTCAGAGGTAAGCATTGATGATTACGAGGGCCTGGTCTCGTCTGACCTCCTTTCATTGTTCACCAATGTGCCAGTGCCCTTAGCTGTGTCCTCTGCCCGTGCTGCGCTTAAGGATGACGCAAGCCTGAGTGAAAGGACTCCTCTGGCAGATGACAAGCTCTGCTGTCTACTGTAATTCTGCCTGTCTAGTACGTACTTCTCGTACAAAGGAACTATTTTCAGGCAGAACAGTGGAACTGTGACGGGAGCTTGTATCTCCGTCACGGTGGCAAACCTGACCATGGAGCAAATACAAGAGAAAGCACTCGGCTACTCCTCGCCCGTTACTCAAGTTTTTTCTTTGTTATATGAACGATTGCTCGTGAGTCATGAAGACGTCTGAAATTGAAAACTTCAGACAGCATCCAAACTCCTTGCACCCAGCCATACAAGTCACGGCCGAGAGTAAAAGCGACCGCTGCCTGCCTTTTCTCGACCTCCAGGTGGCAAGAAAGCGCAACAGCCTTGAGTTCTCCGTTCACAAGAAGCGAACGCACACCGGCCGCTACATTCAATACGATTCATTCCATCCCACCTGCCACAAGGCCTCGATTGTGACCAAGCTACTCCAGAGAGCTAAGAACATATGCTTCCATGACACGGAGGGAAAAAAAGAAGAGGCCTGTGTAATTGCGGACCTCAGAAAAAACGAATACCCAAATAACTTCATTTGAGCCACCACCCGCCCCGCAGAACAACAGAGAATACAAGAACCCTAATCAGCATTAATTGTCAGCTCTTCGAAATGTGTACCGGTCCCATACGTTTAGGGAACCAGCGAGATGTTGGCGCAGATCTTCAAAAAAGAAGGAGTTCGCATCGCACAAACGCCTTCATGTGCGCTGGGCCTCCGCCTCCTCCCCCACGCCTCCCCCAACCATGAACAAGGCCCCCAGTGTCACTTACTAAATCCCGCGCGCCAAGTGCCCTTCTTCATATACCAGCGAGACGAAACACCTACCAGAACGACTCAAACAACACGTCAACGGCATGGAAAAGCTCTACATCGGAGCATCGACCATCCTTGAACATTGAAAGCAAGACTAAACTGGAGGAGAAGGTTACTACTCGAGTCGTGGCATATAAAGCGAACGACCCAAAACATCAACCGCTCTCTCGGAACCTTT